CCAACCATTTGAAATACGATATCAACTACTTCGGTTGATACAATCAACAACCTCATAACCATCCAGAATAACCTAGAACCAACTAGCAACACCCCCCAACCACCTGGAATACAAGGAAACTAAACAATTATAATAAGTCATTTAACTTAAAATAACCCCAAAACAACAACAAAAACACAGTATAAACAGTCCACTACCTTCAAGCAGTCGGTAATATTCTTCATTATGTATTTACCGGTACTGTAGCAACCACTGACCAGCACCCTCACAACCACCTGGAACAAAAAAGCCTTTTTCACTTTAAAATAACCGAACAACAACCAATAAACACAGTAAACAATCCACCTCCTTCAACCATTCGGTAGCATACTAATAACATAAACAATGTAAACAACAGAACCTGTCCTTCTCAGTAATTGTTTGGGAAAAGTAGCCATTTAATTTGGGTTCAGAGTCATTTTGCAGTCGTAGTCGTCTATAATGTCATCATATCTCAGAGCACATTTGAAAAATCTTTTATTTTTTTTTCTCTCTGAGTCATAAACAGTGTTAGTCATGAATCAGAGCACAGTTTGTCAGCAGCAGAGATGAATGGAGGTCAGTCTGCTGGGCATTTGTGTTTGAGACAGTGGCGTGTCTGAGCTGGTGAGTGATCTGCTGTTTGGTCAGTGGTTTGTCAGACCGAAGGGAAACACAGATCTGTGCCGTTATTTACGACGGCTGCTACGCTGCCCCCTTTGGCTGAGGAGGACGAGGGAGAGCTTTGATGTCTGTCTCGGCGGCTCTTGTCCAGTTCACGCCTCTGCTTTCCAGCCTCATGGACATCTGCGACTGTTTCCTTTGGAACCGCTCCTGTTCCGTTAACGCCGGCCTGTCCACTACGCCATGAATTCAGGCTGATTCCTCGAGCAAATGCTGCTAAGGCCTGCGTCCCAGTGGGGCTCTATGGAGATGATGGTTGGGTGAATAACATCAATCGACTGCCATCAGTCGTATTCACCATAAAACACCACCTCCGCTGTTCTGCTGCTTACATAAAAGGCAGAACTTTCCTCTGACGCTGTATCAATCTGTTCTGAATGGTTCTCCTTCCTGTAAGCAGTGTGACCAGTGCGTGTGGACAGTCCTTCTACGCTCAGAGGGGCTCAAGCTGCTTTGTGGCTGTACTTTAAGTCCTGCTGAATGACTCAGTCTTAATCAGAGCTATTCAGCCGAGCAGAAGCGTTTCCCCGTCCGGCTCTGGGCTCAGCAGCTCTCCTACAAACACTGAAGACCGTAGTGCACAACACACACATGCGTACAGGCGTGTGCAAAAGTTTGTGCACCCCCGGTCAAATGATATGTTCACAGGTAAGTTAACAGAGACACAGTTCTGCACAGTTTAATGCACAGTTACTCTTTATTTGCTGGATTTAATACACTGGGGGAAAAAATAACATTTAAAATTGTGGCCTGTGCAAAAATAATGGCACATGAGTGTTTATATTAAAACGCAGCTGGTGGGTTTGGTGACATGACCGGTGTGGATTTATGTTGAGCTGTGAAGAATTGTGTAGAATTGAGGTGGAAACTGCTGCCCCATAGTGTGTTGTTTGGGGAGGGGGTGGGAGCGCAGATTACATAGCAGTGCATGCTGTGGATTGTAGTGCGGCGCATGGTGAAATGGGCTAATATTAATAGAAAATCGAAATAATTTTGCAGGCCGGATAGAATTGTGCCGCAGGCTTGATGTGGCCGTTTGTTTGAGACGTGGGCTGAAGAGGATGTGTTTATTTATTTACACTTACACAAAAACTTCACGACTGACTGACCATAAGAACTTACTGTACATGATATGTAATTCTCACAGTATTATTAAAAATAATAAGTTTATGGTTTATGTAGCATCTCTCTCTGATCAAGAGGAGCAACAAATAAATGAAACAATAAATGCATGTTTAAAAATAAATAAATACATAAAATTACTAACATTATTATTAGTAATAGCAGTAGCAGCAAAACAACAACAATAATAATAATAATAATATTTACTATACAATTTTTTATTATTAATAGTAGTAGTATTAGTAGTATTGATGCTGTTGTTGTTGTTCTTGTTGTTCTTGTTGTTGTTGTTAATAATACTGCTACTACCACTAAAAATATATAGTAATAATAATAATAATAATAATAATGTGAAAATATGACCAGTAATAAATAAAATAATGGCCTGACTGCATGTCTTTGGACTGTGGGAGGAAACCCACACAGAAAGAACCCTGGTCACCTGACCGGGGAATCGAACCCAGATTAAATAAAGCACAATTAAAAGGTAAATGAATATATTGTTTAATTTACAGAAATGTATATATTAATATAATGCCTTTCTATGACCCAAGGTTAATTTATGTTACATTAAAAAAACTGTTATATTATTATTATTAGCAACAACAATGATAATAATAATAGTAACAATAATAACAAATATACAATTCATGACTGATAGATATTTTTTGTTATTGTTGTTGTATTTTAATGTTACCCATAATATTTGATTCAATATTTTACTATTATTTACCAAAACAAACCTATAGTCATAATTTAAACCAAATCTTTGATACATTACAAATTAAATCTGCTGTTGGCCTTTTTTCCACTACAAGACAAACTGCAGTAAAACTGCTCTGAGATCAGCAGAAAGGAGCGCACTGTCCACCCACTTCACATTACCCACGATGCCTTTGGTGAGTCAGAGAGAATGACAGCTCCTAATGGTGTGTCTTAATTAAGACGGATCCACAGAGCGCCATCGCACACCTACACACACACCGAGGGCAGGAGGAATGGCTCAGATCAGCTGCCTGGTCTACTCGCGTTCCTCAGAAGAAAGAGGCTTCGGGAGAAAAGCGCTGTGTGTTTGTCTTTGAGGATAAAGCACTGCTCTCATTAGATCCTCGAGAACACGTTATTTAGCGGCCTAATTATCAGCTTATACCTGCTGTTTTGGCTCCCGTCCACCAAAATGTATTTCTGCAGCCTGGACTCAGTTTAAAGGACGCTCCCAGCTGCTGCTGCATGAATTATTCCCATGGAGGGCAGCTCGCTTTCTACACAGGCCAGTTTATCTGAAGTGCTTTTTCTCCCCTGTCAGATTTGCTGGAATGGATCTGATCTCACTGCTGGAACATCCAGCAGAATCCGATCCTGAAACACAAATCATAACTGGACAGATTTTAAAATGCTGACCCAAAGTGGATTCTGATGAGTTTGGACTTTAAAGATGAACGTGCAAGATTTTGGGCTTCAGAAAGGCTTTAAAGGCCAAGTCAGGGTTTGGGAAACAGAGATATGGGCAAAGAAAAACATCCACCAGAGTGAAATCTAGATATTTATAAATATTTAACCAAGTATGACTGTTTCAAAAATCATCATGAATTCTAATGTTTAAATGTGAGCTGTGATCACTTTAAGCGCTAATGGTGATGACCTTGATGATGGTGGTGGCAGTGATAACAATACTGATGATGATGATGATGATGATGATGACAATAATGATAATGATAATGAGGATAATGACGATCATGATGGTGGTGCTAATGGTGTCGATGATATTAATAATATAATATTAAGGAAAACAAAGTTAATGAAAACAGTGATGATGATGATGGTGAGGAGGAGGATTGTGATGATGTTGAAGGACAATAATGATGAAATTAATGACAAAGTTACTGAACAGGATGATTGTAGCACTTACAGTAATAATGTAATAATGTAATGTAATAATTCCCCAATAATATAATAAAACTGTGCACCTAACTTGGTCAAAAATGTAAAAAATCATGTAATAACTTGCCTAATAATGTAATACAAGGTCTTGACCGTTAATGTAATACTAATAACGTATTACATTATTGTAAATGTATTATATTTTTAGGTGGATCATTTGTTATACCTTATTATATTATTGGAAATTTTCTTTTTCTTTTTCTTCTTGAGTTACTATTATGATGAAAAGCTAATAGTGATAATGATGATGATGCCAAAGCTGATGATAATGGTGATGCAATTGGTGATGATTGTGATGAGGATGGTGATTGTGATGATATATATGGATGCTACAAATGATTACGAAGGTAATGATAATGGTGATATGTAAATGCTAAAGCTGATGATGATGGTGATATAATTGGTGATGATGAGGATGGTGATGATGATGGTGATGAGGATGAGGTGATTGTGATGATATAAATGGTGCTACAAATGGTTATGAGGGTGATGATGATGGTGATATATAAATGCCAAAGCTGATGATGATGGTGATACAATTGGTGATGATGGGGATGATGAGGATGGTGATGATATAAATGGAGATGATGGTGATATAAAGGGTGATGATGGGGTTGATGATGACAATGATGATAAGGATGGTGATCTAGTTATGATATAAATGATGATGACATAAATGATGATGATGGTATAAAAGGATGCTGATGATGATGGTGATGATTATGGTGGTGGTGGTGGTGATGATGATATACTGGTGATGGGGATGATGAGGATGGTGGTCATGTTGATAGAAATGCTGATGATGAGAATTTTGGTGATGACAATAATATAAATGGTGATGATGGTGATATAAATGGTGATGACAGGAATGATGATAAAGAGGATGAAGGTGATGACAAATGTGATAATGTTATAAATAGTGATAATAGGGATGATATGGATAGTGATCATGGTGATAATTTAAAGAGTAATAATGAGGATGATGATGACATAAATGGTGATAATTACATAAATGGTGGTGATAGGAATGATGAAGATGATGGTGATGATCATGTTGATGTGATAATGGTGATTATACGAATGGTGAGGATTGTGATGATAATTATAATAGTGGTGATAAAAATGAAGATAATGATGATCATGTTGGTGGCGATGATAATGATGACAAAGATGATGATGATGATGGTGATGATGATGATGATGGTGATGATGTTGATCTGTTTGTCTCTCTGCAGCAGAGACTCTGGAGGTGGGCGAGTATTTGGAAATTTACGGAATCATGCGCACTCAAGCCGGACGCTACGAGTGCAAAGCCAGCAACGACGTAGCAACGCCTGACGTCAAATACGTCAACGTGGTCGTCAACTGTAAGTACCTGACTGGGAACCGTGTTTCACTATTTTTTATTTTCATAATATTTTAATCGGATTATTAGTCAGTTCACAGCTAATCAAATACCAAATATTAATAATAAGTTCCTATGAAAGCACAGCACTCAGCGCATGCCAAAATACACTGCTGATGAACTATTGTTTTTAGTAAGGTGTTATACATTATATACCTATATGTTATAAATACACTCCTCTATTAGGAACACTACACTAATACTGGGCCTCCCTTCGCTTTCACAACGGCCTCAATTCTTCATTGCATCCATAAGAAGTTGGAAACATTACTTTGAGATTCTGCCCCATGTCCACATGATTGCATCATGCAATTCCTGCAGATTTTCCAGGTGCACTTTCATGCTGTCCTACCGTTCTACCACATCCTAAAAGCAATGATTGGTATTAATGGGCCCAAAGTGTGCTGAGAAAACATTCCCCACCCCATTACACCACCTCCACCAGCCTGGACTTCTGACACAAAGCAGGTTGGGTCCATGGATTAATGCTGTTGGTGCCAAATTCTGATCCTACCATCTGTGTGACTCAGCAGTTGAGATTCATCAGACCAGACTATGTTTTTTCAGTCTTCTACTGTCCAGTTTTGGTGAGCTTGTGCCCACTGCAGCTTCAACTTTCTGTTCTTGGCTGACAAAAGTGGAACCTGTAATGGTCTTCTGCTGTTGTAGCCCATCCACCCCAAGGTTCGACATATTGTGCATTCTGAGAGGCTTTTCTGCTCAGCACATTTGTTCCACAGTTGATGTTTGATGTGAACATTACCTGAAGCTGCTGGCCTGTATCTGCATGGTTTTATGCATTGCACTGCCACCACGATTGGCTGATTAGAGAGCTACATGAATGAGTAGGTGTGCAGTTGTTCCTAATAAACTGTTGAGTGAAAATATGTTGTGGAAAGCTGTCAAAGAAAGCATGCTCACTTGTACTAAGAACATTTTGAAAAGCTATGTGTCCCCAAACTTTTTATGGCCAGGACAGTTCCACCATGGATTGATGGATTGTAAATAAAAACATAAATAATAAATAAATAAATACACACCCTTCATGGTGGGCTGATTACACAATGCCTACAGCCCCGCTAGTACAACATGCAAGAAAATACAGCACATGTTGATTGATCGAATGTACAGTGTGATTGCCGCTGAAAACAAAACAACGCCTTCGTTCCTGATTTAGCTGCCACTTCAGCTGCCAGTTACCTCATAATTTCCACGCTGCAGACGTGAATCAGCCACAGATAGGTTTTCAAGAAAGAGTTTGTCATAATTGAAAGTATAAAAAGGCAGTTTAGGCTTGTGACAGATGCAGAGCAGAGTCGTGCTTTTATTCCCGCATGGCAGATGTAGTGTGTCGTGTTGAAGCTGCTTCGTGAATGATGTTGTATTCCAGGGTAATTAAAATTATAATGACCTGCCAGTTATACAATTTGTTCCTATAAGAATACACAATACAGGGATACAACATGCCATTCGGCCTGATTCTGGACCATTGCTGACATACCGTTACCATAGCCTACTGTTACCATTGTAATGACAAATATCATAATGTTTAATGCCATGATGGCTAACTTGTAGTACACTTGGCAAAAATTAGCATGTGACCTAAGCAGTCATGTTATCAAATGTTGTGACACTGTTCATTCCAATTGCTAGTATTGGTAACAAGTATTAGGGCTTTTCTTTGTCCACCACAGTTGTTCTCCATGGTCTTCCAGGCCTTTGGTTGTTTCCAAGCTCACCAGTGTGTTCTTTCTCTTTAGAATGCATCAAATGGTTTGTTTGGCTCAAATGGTCTCCCTCTCTGATTGGTTTGGGTTGATTTTTCAGCCTAATGATTTCTTGCCTCACTGGCAGTAAAGCTCTTTGGACTGCATGTTGAGAGTTAACAGCAACAGATTCTAACAGATGCACCTCAAATCTCTAGAAACTCTAGACCTTTTATCCGTTTACCTGTAAGTGAAATAATGAGAGAATGACACACATCTGGCCACTGAACAACTGTCCAGTTACTTTTGGGCTTTAAAAATGGGGGCTTACGTATAAAACGGTTGTTATTCCTACACTGTGGATGCAAAGACACATTAAAGCTGAATTGGCTGCCACAGTGGACATGGTGAAAGAAGCTAAAACAAAGAAACATAAAACATATACAATATATACAGAACCTTGGTTCTATGTAGCAACAATGTCAAGCTTGTAACAATAGAAGAACCCTTTTGGTGCAATATAGAAGCATTTTCAAAAGAGAAACACATTCTCCATCAATGTGAAGAACCATTTCGCCATGCAAAGAACCATTTTAGGCATGCAAATGGTTCTATGTAGAACTCATGGGTCTAAACAGAACAATTGCCTTTAGTAAAGAACCCTAGAAGAACCATCTTTTTTAAGGGTGTAGGATGCAAACTGTGAAGTAGTTCTGCTACAATGACATCATTTTAGAGCCGGAAAATACTAATTCACTCAAGCAAAATCATTACTTTGTTTATTATGTATTAAATGCTAATATGCAGTGTGACGTACAGTCAGAGTTACAGGCTGGAATTACAGTGAAACTAAATGATGTTTGAGCTGTAAATATCTTATATTTCTTTCCTTATTTATAGAGCATTTTTCATACTGGTGACAGCTCAAAGTGCTTTACAGAGAGGTGATAATATTTTGGACAAGACAATAACAGATCAAGTGAAAAAGAAACACAGAAGAGACTCAGAGTTTTAATCGAATGCTAAATTAAAAAGCTGCGTTTTCAAATGTTTTTTAAATGTGTGAACTGAGTTTGTCTAATAAAAGGTGAATTGAGCTCCACAGTTTAGAAGCAGAATAACTGAAATAGTCTCTCCATGTTTTCTGTATTTTATGGAAGGTGTTTGCAGAATGCTGGGTTGGCCTCGCAGACACAGCTTTAGAATGGTTTAAATCATGTTTAGGTAATAGGCAGCTCATGGTTTCAATGGGAAGTCATTCGTCCAAAAGATTTGGCATTTCTTGTGGAGTCCCTCAAGGTTCAGTTTTAGGGCCTTTGCTTTTCTCTTTGTACATGCTACCTCTAGGTGATGTCATTAGAAAATACACATTTTCAAAGCTATGCTATGCTATGCATTCCTTCTGATGATCAAGACTCTGTAGACAGGCTGATCAGCTGTGTGTCATATATTTCTCAGTGCCGCAAAAATTTTCTACAACAAAATCATGAAAAATTGGAAATACTGATTGTTGGTATAGAAACTCAGAGAAAGACTGTTTAGTACAATGAGCTCCGTATAGAACCATTTGCATGCATATAAGTTTGTTCGACAGACCCCAGAACCACTTTCTTGTTGTCCTAGTACAAGCCAAAACAAGTGGTACCACATTAACATGTGTTTGTTTCTCCTCACTTAAGCATCTTAGACAACAAAGTGGTACTGTAATAACCCAGAAATTGTTAGGGGGGGCCCTGGTGGTTGCATGGCCATATGCAGCTGCTTATTTCGGCTATTAGGTAGAGCTTGCACTGAAAGTTACTGGGAGATGTTAACCTTATGGTGCATTTTATGAATCTGGTCCAATGTGTTTTGCTAAAGTCTGAGGATCCCGTTACTTGATCACTAAAATAGCTTTGCTATTTTAAAAAACTACTTAATTTAGAAACTGGCTAAACTACAATCATGCTACTGGAAAATGTAGTTCGTCTATTAGCTTCAGTACTCATATCTACTAATACTGAGCCAACTGCCCACACTGTGCTCCCACAGCAGACTCGTCCAGTGTGCCTCTTCTCTCTCTCTTTCTCCATCTCTCAGATATTTGTGTGCCTTTACTGTGCAAACAGTCTGCACTGATACTGCAAAGCTTCCTGCTGACCTTTTCTGCCACATCGTGGCTGACTCATGTTTCACTCTCACGTCTCTTTAGCTTCACTAACAGCCACATTTCACTCATGACGACCTCCTTTTGCACCTCAAGCCTCTAAATCTGTCATTGGTTTGTCATTTCTACCTGTTTAAAGGACTGAAAGTGCATTAGTATCCATTGGAAAACTACAATGATCTGCTTGCTTCCTGACAGCCAGGAACAGCGCACCATTTTCCTACATCTCCCAGTCCAATAACAGTCTGCAGGAACAACACTCTGCATCACTTGGGCGGAGCTACACTGCTGTAGGCGGAATAAGAGTTCACATAAGTGTTTTCATGGTTGTGACATCTCAAACACAGTCAATACAAAATGGCCTGTTCTCTCTCTCCACCCCACAGATCCACCTTTCATTAAGGTTGCTAAAAGCTCGGAGACGCAGATGGGCCGTTTGGGTGTCCTGCAGTGTGACGCCACAGCCGTGCCTAAACCAGAGTTCGAGTGGTACCGAGACGACAAGAGGTACTGTTCCTGATCATAGATATACTTACCATAGAAATAAATGTATGTACCACAGAGGCAAATATACTTACAATGCAAAAAAATAGACTTACAATACAGATAAATACCATAGAGGTAAATACACTTACCACAGAGGTAGATACACTTACCATAGAGGTAAATACACTTACCGTAGAGGTAAACACACTTACCATAGAGTTAAATACACTTACCACAGAGGTAGATACACTTACCATAGAGGTAAATACACTTACCATTGAGGTAAATACATTTACCTCAGAGGTAAATACACTTACCATAGAGGTAAATACACTTACCACAGAGGTAAATACAATTACCACAGAGGTAGATACACTTAGCATTGAGGTAAATACACTTACCATTGAGGTAAATACATTTACCTCAGAGGTAAATACACTTACCATAGAGGTAAATACACTTACCACAGAGGTTAATACAATTACCACAGAGGTAGATACACTTACCATAGAGGTAAATACACTTACCATAGAGGTAAATACACTTACCACAGAGGTTAATACAATTACCACAGAGGTAGATACACTTACCATAGAGGTAAATACACTTACCATTGAGGTAAATACATTTACCTCAGAGGTAAATACACTTACCATAGAGGTAAATACACTTACCACAGAGGTTAATACAATTACCACAGAGGTAAATACACTTACAACAGAGGTAAGTACACTTAGCATAGAGGTAAATACACTTACCATAATGGTAAACACATTTACCACAGAGGTAAAAACACTTAGCACAGAGGTAAATACACTTACCACAGAGGTAAATACACTTAGCATAGAGGTAAATACACTTACCATAGAGGTAAATACGCTTAGCATTGAGGTAAATACACTTAGCATTGAGGTAAATACACTTACAATAGAGGTAAATACACTTAGCATTGAGGTAAATACACTTAGCATTGAGGTAAACACACTTACAACAGAGGTAAACACACTTACCACAGAGGTAAAAACACTTAGCATTGAGGTAAACACACTTACCACAGAGATAAATACACTTAGCACAGAGGTAAATACACTAAGCATTGAGGTAAATACACTTACAACAGAGGTAAATACACTTAGCACAGAGGTAAATACACTAAGCATTGAGGTAAATACACTTACCATAGAGGTAAATACACTTAGCATTGAGGTAAATACACTTACCATAGAGGTAAATACACTTACCACAGAGGTAAAAACACTTACCATAGAGGTAAATACACTTACCACAGAGGTAAATACACTTACCACAGAGGTAAAAACACTTAGCATTGAGGTAAACACACTTACCACAGAGATAAATACACTTAGCACAGAGGTAAATACACTAAGCATTGAGGTAAATACACTTACAACAGAGGTAAATACACTTAGCACAGAGGTAAATACACTAAGCATTGAGGTAAATACACTTACCATAGAGGTAAATACACTTAGCATTGAGGTAAATACACTTACCATAGAGGTAAATACACTTACCACAGAGGTAAAAACACTTACCATAGAGGTAAATACACTTACCACAGAGGTAAATACACTTAGCATAGAGGTAAATACACTTACCACAGAGGTAAACACACTTACCACAGAGGTAAATACACTTAGCATTGAGGTAAACACACTTACCACAGAGATAAATACACTTAGCACAGAGGTAAATACACTAAGCATTGAGGTAAATACACTTACCATAGAGGTAAATACACTTAGCATTGAGGTAAATACACTTACCATAGAGGTAAATACACTTACCACAGAGGTAAAAACACTTAGCATAGAGGTAAATACACTTACCACAGAGGTAAATACACTTACCACAGAGGTAAAAACACTTAGCATAGAGGTAAATACACTTACCACAGAGGTAAATACACTTAGCATTGAGGTAAATACACTTACCACAGAGGTAAATACACTTAGCATTGAGGTAAATACACTTACCATAGAGGTAAATACACTTACCACAGAGGTAAAAACACTTAGCATAGAGGTAAATACACTTACCACAGAGGTAAATACACTTAGCATTGAGGTAAATACACTTACCACAGAGGTAAATACACTTAGCATTGAGGTAAATACACTTACCATAGAGGTAAATACACTTACCACAGAGGTAAATACACTTAGCATTGAGGTAAATACACTTACCACAGAGGTAAATACACTTACCACAGAGGTAAATACACTTAGCATTGAGGTAAATACACTTAGCATTGAGGTAAATACACTTAGCATAGAGGTAAATACACTTAGCATTGAGGTAAATACACTTAGCATAGAGGTAAATACACTTAGCATAGAGGTAAATACACTTAGCATTGAGGTAAATACACTTAGCATAGAGGTAAATACACTTACCATAGAGGTAAATACACTTAGCACAGAGGTAAAAACACTTAGCATAGAGGTAAAAACACTTAGCATAGAGGTAAAAACACTTAGCATTGAGGTAAATACACTTACCACAGAGGTAAATACACTTAGCATTGAGGTAAATACACTTACCACAGAGGTAAATACACTTAGCATTGAGGTAAATACACTTACCACAGAGGTAAATACACTTAGCATTGAGGTAAATACACTTTCCACAGAGGTAAATACACTTAGCATTGAGGTAAATACACTTACCACAGAGGTAAATACACTTAGCATTGAGGTAAATACACTTTCCACAGAGGTAAATACACTTAGCATTGAGGTAAATACACTTACCATAGAGATGAATACACTTACCCTACGGAAACACTTAGTGTAAAGGTAAGTACACTCACCACAGAGACAAATGCAGTTACCACAGAGAACTTTATGAGTTCCAGCTATTTCATAATTTCACTATATAGCTGTACAATTACAGTCTGTAGATCAGAGGTTTCCAGCCTTGTCCGCAAAAGGGCACATGTGGCTGCAGGCTTTCATTCCAAACAGGCCTGACCACACCGGACCCCCCTCGTTTAAACCGTTTGTCTCAGTCTTCAAACATTTGACCAGGTGATCTCCTGCTTTCTCGCAACGAAAACCTGCAACCACACTGGCCCTTTGCAGATAAGACTGGATGGCCCTGCTTTGGCTCATTTGTTTCTGCTCATCATTGGTAATGTTCTGACCACAGGACTGGGTTTGACTGTTTGAGTGGTGGAGCCATAGGAACTGTGAGAACTGCAAATTTAATTCTAATGTTGCTCTCTCTCTCTCTCTCTCTCTCTCTCTCTCTCTCTCTTCCTCCAGGCTGTCTAATATGCAGGGCATCACTATTCAGATCGTTGGTACTCGTACCCTTTTGCTGGTAGCCAACGTCACAGAAGATGATTACGGAAACTACACCTGTGTGGCCACCAACCGACTGGGAAGACACAACGCTAGCGTGTTCCTTTACAGTGAGCAACCACACACAAACACAGTTGACGCCACTCTCACAGCATTAGCAGAGATTCAGAGAGATTAGCAAAGCAACAGTGAAGCTTCAGGAGGTGTATGTTAGCAAGAAACCAAGACTATTTGAGCTAGGCCTTCAGTTCAGGCCAAGAATGTTAAAACTCAATGCTAAAAATGAGAAAAAAACATGAAATTACAACAATGCTAATTTATGCTAGCGCCCTTATGAGATGTCCAATAGTATGCTAGCACTAAGCTAACAATGGTGCACATGAACACTGTAGGTCGCTTGAAGCTCATGAAAAACGTTCAGTGAGCTGTATTTGAAACTAACAGACAGTAACATGTATTTGAGCTTGTATGTATCAGTGAGTGCATTTACATGCACTTAATAATCCAATCATAATCGGATTTCTGCAGTTATCTGATTATTTAAATGGTCATATAAACACCACACTTCGATTTCTTAGATCAGAATAACGTCTAGAAATCCGATTAAGAAATCCGATAAAGAGAGCTGGATTTTAGCTCAGTAATCAGACTTCTCAGTGCATGTGCATTCTTACTCTGATTTCTTTCGAATTTCTCATTCTCAGTGATTTGTAAAGCCACTTTGACTGAAAGCAGTATAAAGACAAGATATTTAATCCTACGGGTCAAAAAGAAATTGCAAATCACTGCTTTCTGTGTTTATTTGCAGTTTACCGACTGTTCCAACATTTTTGGAATTGAGTTTGTACTACAACACTTACCTTTAAAAGGCCAAAAAAGCACTGTGCCTGTAGTTGCTGAATAATAAGCCTGGGTATGTGACCAACCTGTGTGTTTTAAGGGGTTAAATACAGTAAGCATGATTATTCTATTAAATAAAAACTGAACATTTTAAACATGTATATTTTTTTAATCCCTCCTTATTGATGAATACACGCTATTACAGAAGTCTCAAATATGTTCTCAAAAATGTAGATTCTACATTTACTGCTCACACTGGTGCCATCTAGTGGATTTTTGGCAATATGTTCCTTGGCAGTATGACCATTTCTCACCGTCTGCATCACATTTTTTTTTTTTAACTGATAAAACGTATATAATGATAAATCATTTAAGTTGCATCCTGAAACAAAAAGTTTATTTACAGATTTATTCTCAGAGAATGCAGTAATCCACAGCTGATAATGATCTAGAACAGTTCACCGTAATTGCTTACACAGGAACAATAAACTGCATGAATTCTCAGTGTGCACTTCACACTTTGGCCACCAGATGTCAGTGTGTACCAATAAATGCCTCCCCACATAAATAAAGGCCTGAAGTTCAATGTTTGGTTTTACATCTTGCAAAAAATGTTTTGTTTTGGTTGTTTTTAAGATTGCTATTCATGTTTTTATCAGAAATATGTAAGTGCTTTTCCCCATGTGGAGAAAAATGTTTCAACTTGTCATGCGATTATGAAAAATACATGCAGTGCACAAATACTAAGAGTTGCAAAAGTTGTATCAATGTATTGAAAACGCCTCATCAATATCTTAGCCATTTTTACAGACCTCATATCTTTATTAAATTGAGGCCAGGCATTATGCCCATTATAGCCCATCTTCTACGACAGTGTAAACAGAGTAATTAGGCCTTTTTGAATCTGCATTGTCAAACCTGGAACATTGCACTGTACAGTACTGCTGCAGTATGGTACAATATGCAGTATACATAATATAGTACGTTATGTATATACTGTATATATAGTACATACTGGAACAGTATATACTATATATACAGTATATATACAGTATTAGTACAATATGTGGTATATGTTGTAAACTAATACACTATACAATATACAGTATTTACTACTACAGTATGCAGTGTGCAGTATACTGGTACAGTATGTAGTATAAAATATACTGGTACAACATGTGGTATACAGTGTATACTATTACACTACATAACAGTATTTACTACTATGCTATGTGGTATATATTAGTATTATTTGCAGTATACACTGTAGTGGTGCAGTATGCAGTATACAGTATATAATGGCACAATATGCAGTATACAGTATATACTAGCACAGTATGCAGTATATAGTATATATTGTTACAGCATGTGGTATGTAGTATGTAATAGTACCGCATATACTTGAACATTATACACTATATAATTGTACAACATATGGTATACAGTATATAATAGTACAGTATATAATCGTACAATATATGGTATAATGTTATACTATATACTAGTACATTATACAGCATATACATTATGCAGTATATAATGATACAATATATGGTACTTTATACAGTACATAATGGTAAAATATATATTACCATTGACAGTATACCAGTGACAGTATATACTAGTACATCATACAGTATTTAATGGTACAACATATGGTACACAGTATATACTAGTACAGTATACAGACTATAGTGTTACAATATATGGTATACAGTGCTAGTACATTATACAGTTTATAAAGGTACAACATATGTTATACAGTATATACTAGTACAGTATACATACTATAGTGGTACAATATATGGTATACAGTACTGGTACATAATACAGTATATAATGGTACAATATATGGTGAAAGATATCTAGTAGTACAGTTATAATGGTACAATATATGGTATACAGTATATACAAGGACAGTATGTAGTATACAGTATATGCTAGTATATTTATGTTGTATACAGTGTGTGTGGTATATTGGTGTATTATGCAGTATACAGTTTATAACTGCACAATATGTTCCTTTCATTCTTACCTCTCTCTCTCTCTTTTTCTCTATAGGACCTGGAACTGGACGGGACATCAACGGCTCGGCATGCATCTGTCTGTCCATGTGGCTCCTCGTCCTGCCCCTCCTCCTGCCTCTACTCAATTGTTAATACTCAGCGCTGCAGTCCTTCACCACCACACCTCCTTTCTCTCCTTCTCCTCCTTATAATCTCTCTCTCTTTATCTCTCTCTCTATCCCTCTCTCTCCTCTTCTCTTCCTTGCTCTCTCTCTCTCTCTCTCTCTCTCTCTCTCTCTCTCTCCCAGACTGTTTGCATTACCATCCCGAACGTACCGTGCCTCAACGCACGCAAAACTAGGTACACTTACAATTCAAAAAGAGGAACGGGACGGGCTGTTAACGTGTGTCAGTGTTGAAAAAGTACAGAAAAGAAAAAAAGAAAGGAATCCGAAACCGGAGAAGAAGTAGAAAGAAAACAGTGCTCTTTATAGGATATGATAATTGTTATCTTTACTTGTCAAATCCTCGTTTTCCACTGTCCTGGAGTTTTTCTGTTTTTTTTTATTCCAGGTTTTTAGTTTGGCTCGCCTCTTCTCACGCCATCCTGAGAACTAGCAGAGCAGAAAACTTGCACATTAGCGAGAGTTCAGACTCGACTCTTAGCCGCGTCGCTCAACAATCATCCAGATATCCAGAGCGCTAACTTTGATATTTACTCTCCGATCTTTACAGATGTCTTCGGTATTTGCCAAATGTGTAACATAAGCAATGCAGAGAGACGCTAGTTAAGGAACAAAATAAAAAAACCACGCCCGTTTCTCAGCAGAAAGACGTATAAGCTACAGCAACCAGCGCTAAGCATCACCAAACGGAAAATAGCCAGTTATCCCACTTTCGGAGCAGCGTAGAGTTAGCGCACTGACCACGATTCGCAAGCCGGACGCCAAATCTTACCGTAATTAGTTTGCTAGCGTGCTAAAATAAGTAGCTGGGAGCATCTAAAAGAGTCTGTGTGAGTTAGCTTAGCCAGCTAGCAGCAGGGTACCTCGCTCAGTTCACGGTTGGCCCAGCTCTGTGCTAACAAAGGTGCTAGCTCCATGCTAAATGAACAGTTTCCACTGAAGAGGATGGTTGGGGTGAGTCTAGACTGAAGTCTAAAGCACTGGTCAGGAACCGAGCAGGCTGAGAAAAAAACGAATCAACACAATGTACCCGCTTACTCAGATGTAGCCGATTAGCCAATACAAACTGGGCAAGTATGTAGCACAGCCCCAGATAGCGAGCACCGGCTTAGCGGACATCGGTCCACTGGCGTTGGGATTGCATTTCACTGCTGGTCCAACCTCAGACCACCCAGATTACTGTCCTGCATACAGGATCTTACTAGTTTTTAATCTCCTCAAACAGATTTAAATAAACACAGAGTTTTAGTTTTGGAAAATATACTAAGACAATTATTATTAAAAATTGGAAAGGGGAAAAAAATTAATATCTAGGCCTAATAGAAAGTAATTTTGTTGAAAATGTTGTTGCTGACACTGTGCTAGATTGGTTACAGCTGTATAACCAGCCTTATTTATGATGCTACTGTTAAAATGACTTATTAAACTAATTGATATGGGAAAATGATAAATAAATGATAACAAAAGAAAGAAATTAAGGCAAAATAACACTGTTTAACCACTGGTGGGCCCAGAAAGCTCTGAGCAAGAAGCTGCCAGTGGACCACCAGCTTTTAGGCTAACAGAGGCACGCTAAGTTATACTGTTGCTATCTGGGGCAGCAAAAACAGTAAAAGCAACCTTGAAATGCCTCAATTTAGTCTATCTTTTGTAGATAACTGTGTCTAAAAACCACCAAGCAAGTCTACTTTAACAACTCAATGTAGTTTGAGGCAAGTCTGTGATGATTTAGCCTTACAGTTAGCGCAATGCTAACTTTTTGTGCTACATTAGCCTCGTAGCTCCAAACAAAACTAAAGAGGCACCAAAGCTGAGGTATCTCAGCTGATCGACTACATTTGCAGTAAAGGGAAAGTTGTGAAAATGTGATTTGTACTCTTTTAAAAACAGCAGTGAAGGTTTGCTAATTATTTTGGTAGTCAAAGCGAGCAAACCTGCTAGCCCTGCTGCTCCTGACAGGAGCTTTAACCTGTTAGTTACGTGGAATAGAAGTGAATTGTGATCGCGTTCAAAATAAAAGTCTCTTGTTGCACTATCAACAACGCTGTCCTCTGGCAAGGGGACGAAGAGAGCGGCCAGAAAGGACGGCGCGTGCCGAGAGAAGCTAATCGTTGAATATTTGGGGTTTTTTTTTATTTTTTGTCCTTTTTTTTCTTCTTTTAAGTGAAACCAGTGGTCTGTCGTCATCACTACACTTTAACAAAAGGCTTGTTGTTCCTGATTGTCAAAGCCTCACCACTTTAACAGGTCTTTGAGGCGGACGGGGCGGTTTCTGGTCACTAACTCTTAACTGTGAAAATCTCCCGGCTTGGTTTTTTGTTTTTTTTCCCCTCCTCCTCATCCATCCGCTCCCCATCCGCCATTCGTGGACTATGTACCATACAGCTAACGTGTGCGTGACTCTAGACTGAAATGTATGACACCAATGAATGCTTTGCTTGTTTTTCTGTTGTTTTTATTCTCTTTTTCTCCTCTATCCTCGAACGGAAAGCGGAATGTTGTTTTGTTTTGGTTTATTTTTGTTCGTCCATCACGATTAACGTTGTATATATCTACTTGAATCCATTGTCCTTAAATATATAAATATATATATATTAAAAAAAACAATAATAATATATTACGTCCATGTTTCTTAATAGGCTAGTGAATTTGTTGAGGATTAACTGTAAGTAAAACCGATTAGGGTACGAAGATTTTTATTATCGAGAATTTAACACGGTACTATAACCTGTCGGAAAACAGATAGAGTCCCTTTTTTTTCCTTTTTTTTTTTAATATATAGAATGTAAATCTCCATTATGGAGGTGTTAGCATTGAAATGGGAATACCTACACGCTTATTGCCAAAAGTTAAAGTAAAAAAAAGTAAAAGATGAAATTGTGCTAGATGAAATACGTCCTCACTTATGACCATTTATGTTTTGTATCACGTTTAAACGCGAGTGTTATATACTTATACTTTCGATGTGCGCATTCAGGTTTGGATGGCCAGGTTTGGATATTTGATCCTCGATTCTCTCTTTAAATCTCTCTTCTCTCAAAACCCACCCACACCCAAGGCCTCTCGAGTGACTGACCACTCAGTGAGCTGCCCGGCGGCTGAGTTTTTATGCCTTGTTACAGCCTCCCACTCACCTGCTGTGTGTGCGTGATGACCGTTTCTTCGTCACAGTTTAGAGTAGGCTAGGCTACGTGCTAAAGCGGTCAGCGCATGAAGGGCTAGCGATCTCCTTTAGACCAATTTTCCTCCACCAAATATCCGAGGTTTTGTCCTTCAGTCTTAAAAAAGGCCTTTCGGTAGCGACCAGATCCTCCTACTCTAAATTGTGACCGGTGTGTATTGTAGCTGAATGCCAATGTACAACTGTCACTGCTGTCTATATGTTTGATTTCATGTTAATACTTACATAAGCTATAAAATCATCCACTCCATGGCTGTGGTTGCAGGCCAGGATGTCCAGCTAACAATGATTGCTTTGTGTGTAGCCTTCCATTTTCCTGTATCCCATTTCCTTTCGATCCTTCTGGATTTCTTGTACTTGAAGCAAGGATTCAGGAGGTTTTGTTTTCCTTTTCATTTGTATATGTGAACCTTATTCGGCTAGAACTCTCCAGAAAGGGAACATCGTACTCGGACTTCTCATGTCAGTAGTAAATTCCAGAAACTTTCCGCATACCCTCATTTCAATGCAATGAACATTTTATAATGGCTTTGGTTTATTCTAAGATTACTGCAATCGATTTCTAAAAATCTTATGTACTGTAAAGTACCCATGAAATGTTCAATGAAAAATGAAATAAAGTCATTTGAATTTGACGTGCTGTATTTGAAAAATGGATTCGAAATACTGCTGAGTTTCTTCCTTTTGTGTTGTTTTTGCTGTTAGAACTTATGTTTATCAAACAAGGTTAAATAAATGCTCCTTAAATAGTTTATTCTTACTGCGAACTGTTGTAGGCCAGTATCTAAACCTGCTCAAGACATCATCATATATTACATTTGGTATAGCTTTACTTGGTGCACCTTTCACGTAATTTTATTTATTTATTTTTGGGCCAGTTCGGTCATTTACAGTCTGAAAAATGGAAACTGGCCGAGGAACAATGATACAGACTGTTGCTGTATCACAAGGTTGTAAGTCGTTTGGCTTTTTTGTGTTTTCATCAGCACATACAAGGAAAACAGTAGCGTCCCTAGAACAGAGCCCTGTGGCACACCTAAATCTGTCATTTGTATGATCTACATTTTTGAAGTAATAGCAAGCAGTCAGGCAGGACTTCAGGCATGAGATTGCCATTATTCTGACCCTAACAAGCCTGTCTTGTGAAAAACATTAAGATTAGCCTGTGTTTGGGCCTTTCCCAGGGATCAAGGTTAGGTTTCTTTTGACCATGTTGGTACTACTAATACTCTAAATGGTGGTGCATCCTATTTTGATCACAAGGTACAAAGGTCTCTATTGTTATCTATGATTAATAAAATGACAATATGGGGCAGAAGATTTCCCTATATTCTCTGCCTTTAAGTCAAGGCTGGAAACCTACCTGTTTATTAAGTCTTTGGTTGAGTTCATCTCTTCAGATAATGGTGCAGATCTTGGGATTCATGGACATATGAAGGCTCAAACTTTGTAGACACCTGCTCATTCAGCATTTCTTTGGAAAGGAAGGGTGTTTATAGGGGGTTTGCTTCAGTAACAGCCTCTACTCTTCTGGGAAGGCTTTACACTAGATGCTGGAATATTTCTGTGAGGATTTGAACTCATCCCAAAGATACTGGATGAAGCTCCTTCACTTTAGAGAACACAGTTCTGCTCCACAGCTCAATGCTCGGGGGCTTTATACCCCTCTAGCCCATTGGGCATGGTGACGTCTTGGTCCTTAGACCATATTAACACCGAATATGCTTTCACGTTATATATGCAAAATACAGTCTCCAATATTTTTGGACATAATATATTGTGTCTCAGCATCAGTTAGATGACTTGAAAATCTTTTTTTTTAAATATAATTTTTCAATTTTTCAACTAGTAACAATTGCAAGATATAGTTTTATGTGAATCTTATATAAATACTGCAATTACACTTTACAAAAAAGCAAAAGATAAAATACAATTTATAACAATAAGTACATCAATGCAATTAAATTCATAAAAAAATGCTTTGCAGTAGCCAGCAGTTCAGAGAGTGAACACTGGATGGCAGCAAAGTCAAAGAAATGGGGAAAGCTGTCGCCCCACTGTGTTACTGACAGTAGCTCCTCATGTGATTTAGAGTGGCATTGATTTACTAATGCAGTTCTCATAATATTTATATATATATATATATATAGAGAGAGAGAGAGAGAGAGAGAGATATAGATATATATAGATATATATGTGTGTGTGTGTGTGTGTGTGTGTGTGTGTGTGTGTGTGTAAGAAAATTGAATGTCATCTATGGATTTTGGAACAAAAGATTTCATATATTTCACAATATGAAAAAATAATCATATACATATTTGTATTATAATTATTTATAAGTATAAAATAAGAATAAAAAAGCTGTTTATCTGGGCAGTAAACATTTATTTGTTCAGAAAAACACTAATGTCAGAATAGATATTAATAATGATATGTGTATACAGAAATTATATAGATGTGTGTGGATAATAAAATTATGAACTATCAAATAATATTATAAATACTGCTATTGTGAAGAATTAGAATTTAAAATGAGAATTGAGATTTATAACCTTTAAAATTGTTTATATGATTTATAAACATACAATTATTGTTAAATTAGTATTATAACCAATGCTAATTCCCAAAAACATACCAAATAGTTCAGAACTGTTCACAGTGGTGGTGATAGGAACCAGACGTCCACCTCTAAAAGTTCCCTCACAGAAAGTTACTACATGAAATGGTTATGAATTCACTGCCTGATGACTGAGACACTGTTTTATGATAGTTTTGAGAAGATTTTGGACTTAAACTCCATTCATGGTGGAGGGATACATAATATACAGGGCACTGTGAGGCAAAATAGTCCCCAAAGAACCTTATTATTTCAGATTTTCCACTATTTTCCATCATCAACATTCCATATAAACTCAGAAGACTCGTGTAGGTTCACTGGTGGTTCTGGATAGTAAATAAAGTGTCTATATTTGTGTTGTAGTCATGGCGACCCCTGGTTCCTATCATCACCACTGTAAAGACATCTGAGTCTCTACAATCAACCATTTCAAACCAGTTCAATCTGAAACACTAATTCATGGGATTCCCTTTAAAAACCCTGAACTAGCACATCTTGATCACTTCACTGGGAAATATTAGTATCTCCACATCTGCAGTGACATTTCTGTGATGTTTGTTCTTTGGAGCTGCAGTTTAAAAGTATGTAATGCTGAATATCACTGCTGTCAGAACAAAACCTCGTACCTCCATTTTTGTCGTTTTTCACTTTTTGACATAGTTTGAAAATGCCTATTGCCCTTTACATTGTATGTAAATTCCATGATGACTGGACCAATAGAAACAGCCCAAAATGACTTGGAAAAAAGTCTGGTTCCATTGACTTACATTAAAAGTAAAGAAGGTTTTTTCCTTCTCCTGTAAAGTCACCATTTTGGAGAGGTTTCGTTCCGACAGCAGAGATATAGTTCAAAAAGCTAAAACTAACGTGCTAAGCATTAATGTAGAGGCAGTGAGCGTGATCTGTTTGGTGGAAGCGTCCCTCTCCAGCGCCCCCTTCCTGCAAATTCATTCAAAAACACAGCGCACGCGTCTTGTGATGATAATTGGCACATTTCTTTATTTTGAAAACAGACATTGAAACTTTTTTTTTTTCCACAATTGAACTCCTTTTTAGATTCAAACTTGACATTGCACTCACGTGAACATAGGAAAAGGCTGTTTTTTTCTTTTCGTCATCTTTTTTTTTTTCTTCTAGTTGTTTCGTATTTCGATTTTTCTCTTTTCATGTTTTTAAACATCAGCGCAGGAAATATCTCCAATTGATATCAAACCGTCATAACAACACCAAGGACATCGAAAAAAGAAGCCACACGTTTTGGTTTACCGTGACTGCGAGAAGGTTCCCCCTCTCAGGAGGAATTCCCATGCAAGGAAATCGGATGGGTTCAAGCTATCCATGAAATGCTGGCCAAAAAACAATGCATCAACATAGAACACTGAAAGGGAATAATACTTCTCCCTATTAAATAGCAGTGCACTACTACTATGGGTCAATGGAAAACGGCGTTAAGTGTACTCGTGTGCCTGTGCGCGCGTGTCGTCGTGTGAAGATCTAGGGATGCAAACCAGGGTCAAACGGGTCAGCTTGAGTAAGAAAATGTGTCGTCTGTCCTTTGGTGAAGTTGATGAAAGTACGGGCTCGGACTCTCGTCTGTTTCTCGCACGTCGAAGCAGCCAGCACCAGATCACTTCACTGCTAGCTTGAGCCGCAAGTTGCATATGGAAACTCCCCCCCTCCCCCCCCACCCCCGCCCGACACCCCCCCCCCAAAGATGTAAGAAAATCATTGCCACACAAAAAAATAGGACAAACAAATAAAAACTGACTGTTTTGTTCCACAATCAGAGGGCAAAGAGCAACCTTTTCGTAATTATTTGTTACCATTTTACAACTTTGCATCATCTTCTTAAGCGTTCTCGTCCTTGTCTTCTTCCTTGCCCGCTTCCGAAACAGCGCCGTCTGCTGGCTCGGAGTCGTCTGCAGCATCTGTTGGCAGAAAAAGCGCATAAAGTTAACGTTCAACCCTACCGCCATTTATTTCCACGCATCACGGTGGGACTCATTTCCCTTTGCCTTAATTGCAGCTTCCATTCTTTCCACACCTCCTAAGTTCAGTCTTAGAAGTTGCTTGGACTTCTCACAGTCCAACTAATCTCAGTTCAATATTGTTAAGGTCTGGACTCTAGGATGGCCAGTCCAATGTCAAAAATCTCTAGACTTCCATCAAAGGTCATAGGAAAACTCTTCATTTTTTAGTGGTACAGTGTTGTAAATTGTGCTTAATGTGACCAGGAACGTTATATTTTTCAATTTTGATATCAGGTTGACTTTGAAGCACACTCATGAGCCATTTGACCAAATTAGCTACAATGCTAACTTAACAAATTAGTGATAATATTGCATACTGTGTCCAGCAACTCATTCACACCCTTCAAGTATAAGTTATTCTCTTTTCAGAGATCTTATATAAGAGAATCAACATGCATAAGGAAGGAAAAAAAAAACAGGACTTTAAAAACTGGCTAAAAGCTACAGAGAAAATGTGGCTCCTAACAACCACCTGGAAGACCTGGTCGACCCCAAAACTGCCCCCATCAGATAAGCAGCACTTAAAGCTTTCATCTCTGAGAGAGAGGAGAAAATCAAGCTGCTTCAGATCTGAAAACATCCACAGGTGTTTCTGTCCATCCTTCCACTGTGAGAAGACAACTCAGCGCTGTGGGTCTGAAAGGATGTGTAGCTGATCAAGAAGAACCTCACTGAGAAAAGGAGACGGACACATCAAACAAAGAAGCTGAACGATGGACTGACCACCCCAGAGTCCAGACCTCAACACCACTGAATGTGTTTGGGGATTTCACAGTACCAGCACTTACAGTTGTCTAGGGCAGATCTAGCAGGGCACAAATTATGTACATATATGCACCTGTAATAAATACACACATTAAATACATAGTAGTAAATAAAACTCAGTGTATTTTTTATTAAATGTGTTTTTTTTCACGATTAAACGTACTTAATGTCCATTTTGACTGATAATCGGATAAAAGAAGGTTGTTCTCTCACTTGCATAGTAGTCAGTGCTTCGTTTCAACCACACATATCAGACAAAACAGATCAGACTAGCCGGCTAGAGTTTCACTAATGGCTCGTGTGTCTTTCTGAAGAACAAGCGATCCCTCAGCGCCAGTAACCACCGTCCTTCATGGTTTCTGAGTGTTGTTGCAGAACCTGAGAGAACATCTATAAAGCCTAATTGTGGTCAAGTCATGCACTTTAGATTGAATCGAGCAGCCCGCATCAGTATGGATCTCTGGGCGAAACCACCACGCACTTAAAGCGCAAACTATAAGATCTAGAAGGAAGAAATCGATCGGGTAATTCAGTTAGACCAAAGCTCATCCTGTTTTCCCCTCAAGAATCATCGACGTGCAATAACAACCATCGTAACAACCAGAGCCTTTGGCTAATTATCTCCGAGTTGAAACGTTGCTCTAATGCATGTTTTGTGTCTGAGATATCAAGGTTGTAGAAGAAATGTTCCTCCGAAATGTACAAGGAGGCCTTTTACTTCTTCTTTTAACCATTAAATTTGTTCTCACCCTTGTCGCGACCCATTCTGTTCAGCTGATTACATTTTTGATGAAGCCGCTACTATCCGTTCTCGCAATTAGAACGCGCTAATGAAATGCCCCCCGCTGAATTTTCACACTTTTTAAAGGTACTAGGCCACCAACACATCATCAACGTTGTTGACGTGTTGGAAGGTTAGGATGATTCATCTGACGCTGCTGTTATTTTTAAAATCACTGCTGGTCTTTTTCAGCTTTTAGCTTCCACAGTCGACTAAGCAAGTCCAACTGAAACAAGGAGAATATACTAATAACAACCATAGGATGGTATGACATACTGTCACATACTCCAGCGTTTCTAACTGCTAACTTACTCACCATAGAGGTGCTAGTAACACCAAAATGTTTGGTTCAACAGTTCTTCTTTTGGAAAGACTTCGTCGTTTTCTAGTTTGGCTAGTTTGGTAAAGCGATCTTCCTCACGTTAATCGAGATCTTACACACCTCTTTTGTCTTTGGTTAGAGAAATGAGTAACAACTCACTCTTTCCACCAAACTCTTGCAAAATTGGACGAGTTTTCAGATCATTACAGCATATTATAAAGTTTTTCAGGGGTATTCCAGGCATAGTTACAGTTGCTAGGTTGTGAAGGACCAACAGGGTGAACTAATCTGCTACAGCACCACCCTGAGGCAGACCAGCTCACCAATTGTGAAGTGGGAGAAGTAATAAATCCCTGAATGTGCATTTGAGTGTCAATTTTTCTCTAATGAATAACAACTTCATAAGAAAATTCTTTGAGATTCTGAAATTTAGGGGGTCCAAGAGATTGGCTGGGGATCCTGGACCCCCCAGGACCCCCCTGTATTTCGCACCTTGTATATAGACAACAGTATATTAGCACAGCTAAAAGGATTTGTACATACTTTTGTCCATTTCATTAGCTTCATTGCACAAGGCCAAAAAATAACCAAGCAAGCTTTGGACAGCAATTGAACTGGAAATGGTGTAAATCTGATTTTTCATCAAACCTTCTTTTTAATAGCTCAGGTGAAGCTGGTTTATATAGGTACTTATGAATTAAGATTTGATGGCAATCAAAAAAAACATTTCCAAATTTCTGCATAAGGTGGTTCATCGTAGAGAAACTTACTCAGATTTCTTTACAGTGGTGGTGATAGGAACCAGGGGTCGCCATGACTACAGCACAAATATAGATTTTATTTACTATCCAAAAACCACCAGTGAACCTACTTATTTTAGTTTATAACACTTTCCAAAAAAATATATCTTCACTTTTTGCGATTTTTATAATTATATATCATCCGAACACACCAACTATCTTTTACACTGTATCAAAATTTCATGATGAACGGAGTAATAGAAATGCCCAAAAACTACCTAAAATGATCTAAAATCATATTATATAAAAATATAATCACAACAATTACATTGACCTATATTACAATACTTTTGCCTTCTAAAGTTATTATTTTGGAGATTTTTTTTTCTGGTATAATGGTTGGAAAATGGAAGTAAATCTGAAAAAAAAAATCTTTGGACACAATTTTGCCTTATAGCTCCCTGCATGTACCTCTTCTCCAGTAATGTATAAAAGATATTTACACCAAAACTATATTTTAAAAACTATAGTTTAACTCTTCAGACGTCTGGTTTCCATCACCACTACTAAGTCTGGCTGTAAGTTTCACTAGAATGGAGAATTTCACATCAAACCACTCTGAATGACTCTGTTTACATCTTACAGATTTAATTATGCAGATCCTTTTGGAAAAATCGGTGGAACTGTCCTGGCGCCACCCACCTTTTTTGTCTTGTGTTTGGTTTGCTTCCTCACAATCAGCTGTCTCGCTAGCAGCGGCAGGCACGTCGGCTTGTTTGGCTTCCGCCTTCTCCTCCTCCTCCTTCTTGTCAGCGTTTACATTCTCGGCGGGTTTCTCGGCCTCGGCGGCGGGGGCTTCACCGGGTTTCTCCGCTTCCTTCGCCTCCTCCTTGGCAGGTGGTTCTGAGGGGGAGGTGGCCGCAGGAGCTTCGGCCTTGCCTTCGTCGGCCGCAGCCGGAGAGTTAGCGGGTGGCTCGGTCACGGGGCTTTTGGCCTTCTCATCGCCAGCTTCCTCGGCCGGTTTCTCCGCGGCAGGAGAAGTGGCTTCCTCCTTCTTCTTCTCCTCCTCGCCATCCCCTTCCTTGGGCGCCTCAGCGGTTGCCTCGGCCGCGTCGGCCTCTGCCGCCTCTGGGGCGGCCGGACTGTCCTCCTCCTTGCCGTCGTCCTTCATTTTTTTCCGGATTATGTGTCCCCGGAAGCTGGCCTGGATCTTGGTGGCCGCCTTGTGGGCTTTGTCTTCTGGTTTGGTGCCATCCTGTTTGATCTCCTGGTCAGCCTCTTCGTTCTTCTCCACCTGAGGGACAAAAACGAAGGTTAAGGTCATGATCTGGAGACCTAGCATTCTCCAAAAAGCAGGAAGTCTGAAGGACACCAACCCAAGAAACACCAACCAACCCAAACATGTGCCATACATGCAAGATTGTTGGGTGACTCTAGAACGTTCTCCCCTTTACACTGTATAAGGGGAGAATGTTCTAGAACACTGTGAATGGCGGGACAATCTAGAGTTGAGACAACATTCTAGAGTGGTGTGCATGGGGAGAATAATCTAGAACAGTAAATGGGAAGAACATTCTAGAACAGTGTAAATGGGGAGAACATTCTTGAGCAGTGTGGGTCGACATTTTATACAGGGTGAATAGAGGAAGTACATTCTAGGATAGTGTGAATCCTAGAACTGTGTGAACTGGAGAAAACATTCTAGAACAGGGTGAATTCTAGAACAGGGTGAATGCTGTAATGATACGAGGAAAGGGTGAACAAGGAGACCATTCGAGGGCAGGGTGAATTTTGGATAGTTGAAACTAGAGAGAACATTCTAGAACAGTGAGAATGGAAACATTCTAGAACATTGTGGATAAGGGAGAACATTCTGCAAGAGTGTTAAAGAAACTGTGAATGGGAGACATTTATAGAGCAGAGTAAATAGGGGCATTCTAGAACGTCATGAAGAGGGGGAGTAATGTATGTGTATGGGGAGAACATTCTAGAACAGTGTAAACGATGGAGAAAGTTCTGTGACAGGACGGCACTAGAATAGTGTGAGAATAGGGTGATTATTCTAGAACAGCATGAGTAGGGAGATTGTTCTAGAACAATTCCCCATGCACACTGTTGTAGAACAATCTCCCTACTCATGCTGTTCTAGAATGTATAGGGGGATTGTTCTAAAGCAGTGTGAATGGGGTTTTGATCTAGAACACTGGGCATAGGGAAATTATTCTAGAACACTGTGCACAGCGGGGTTGTTCTAGAACAGTGTGAATAGGAGAATTGTAATGGGGGATTGTTCTAGAACACTGTGCATAGGGGGATTGGCCAAAAGCAGCGTGAATGTGGGGTTGATCTAGAACACTGTGCATAGGGGAATTTTCTAGAGAACTGTGAATAGGGGAACACTCTACATAAGGGGATTGTTCTAGAACACTATGAATAGGAAGATTTATGAGAGCAGCACAGGGGGATTGTTCTACATTAGTGTGAATAGGGAGATGGTTATAGAGCAGTGTGCACAGGGGGATTATTCTAGAACACTGTGAATTGGAACTTTCTATCAATAATCACACAGAAATGGCACATAAAGGGCTTCAGACATTTGGTTTGGTTGCCGTTTGCAGGAGAACATTGTGTTGTTGTGCTCTTGGCTTAAGAAATTAACATTGTACAAGAAGACTTTATAAAAGCTCTACTTTCACAGTCCTGTCAATCACTGCAGGAGCTGAATATGCAGTCAGAGCTGAAACAGTAAGTGTTAGCAATCTAAAACAATAAGCCATGTGAGGCCGTCAGTGTAACACATGGCCTATTGTGGCTTATTGTATTAATACAATAGTAACAAAATTCAACTAGAGGCTTTGGTTGCCAAGCAACATAATGACGAAAGATTATTCCATGAACTCAATCTGATTGCAATCAGATTTTGGCCTAGAATAACCTTTCCCAACCTTGTCAACTACAATGTGAAATGCTGTATAGCCTAGTGGATAACACCACCACCCCACACATAGAAGGCACATGATCGATTCCCAACCATGCAGGATGTCCATACCCTGCACTTTCAGAAACAATGCGACTGTTCAGGTCAATTTTAGTCCCCCAGTGTAATGTAAAGCAACGCATATGTACCCTCAATGATACGAAATATATCACTGCCAACATAAGAAAAAAGAAATGATCAAATGTTACATTAAACTTAAGAATGTTTTTTTTTCCTGTACCATTTTTTATTTTATTTTTAAATTACCATGACAGAAGGCTTAACAGTACTTTAAATAAGTACATAACAGTTATATATTCTTAATTTTTTGTACTTTCTCAGAGGTACAGACACTTGAATGGAGCTTGTTCAAATACGATGCCTTCAGCAGGGGAAGTGGCTCTACAGTGTCTCTTTAGCTGTGGCCAAAAACACTGTTTCTCCAAAGCATGATAATCATCCAGCAGCTCCAGCAAGGACACCACGCTGCGCTTTAAACACCACGCCAGAGCCGTGCTCTCCACGGGAGACCATGTTTGCCTGACAGACTTTAAGCTAGCAGGAAACCTGCAGCTGTTAGCTATGTGATTATCAGGCCGTGGCTTTGTGTTAGCTGTGTTTTCGTGAAGTGTTGTGGTCCGTGCTAATGGGAACAGGGTTTGTTAACAGTGTGCTAATGGTGTTTAGTGTTTCTTGGAGTTGAAAAGACTTCAAATCTAAATGTAATTGAGTAAATGTGCTTATAGTCTTGGATTTAACTCCAAAATGCTTCAATTTGTCAAATGTGCATGGCTCCTTTGGAAAAGAGGTTGCAAAATAGAAGCCTGCGTTAGAAATCTCAGCACCCAACAGACAAAATTTTTGAACTGAATAAAAAATCACAAGGCAACATCACAAACTTACAAACACTAAATGTACATTTAGCTAGCTGTTAGCACTTAAACAGAGAACATGCTTAAATAAGGCATTTTCTGCTGATTTTAGTGCACATTTTTTCTTCTTTTCTTTTTTGACATAACATTTGCCAGAACTTTTGCACAGGCCACATTTTATTTTTTTTTCTCATAGTTTATTTTGTTAAATAATAAACCTAACATTTGTTATATTCTGCAAATAAATAGTAACTTTATATTAAATCTGTGTACACTGTAGAAGATGTGTTCACTTATTTTCACTAAGAAAATCAACTAAATTCTAATTTGACCATTTTTAAACTTTTGCATGTGACTTTAAGTCATGCAAACTAAGCTGCAAAAACAGCCCATTTTGATCTATAATCATGATTATGATGTCGTAGCCATGAACACTTTTCCATACAACCATCCATTCAGCCTAAACAGGATCCCTGCAGCCTTCCAAAGTATCCGTATATCCATAAGAAGCAGCCGAAGTTCCCTAACAGTTTGTTTTGTGCGTTTCAGGTGCTTTTTGAACAAGGCAGAATACAGGGCAGCCAATCAGAACAGGTCATTTACATATGCCAGTCTTAAAGGGAGATTGGAAAATAGTCATATGAAAATGAATTAGGACTGTTTTTGATACATAAAACCACATAGAAGAGGACTTTAGTAGAAAAAAAAACAAGAAAAATGTAGAATATGGGCCTTTAATGTAATCTGGACAGCTGTGAAAATGCTTGCCCACAACATCATGGAGTATCAAAGACCGATCAGGCTCATCTCAGTGAAATGTGTTACTGACACATAGCTCCAATTTCATATTAATTACAGAAGAAATATAATCAGTTTGTGATGTTAATGAACAAAAAATCTACGATAAATTCTCAATGAATTGTTAGATTATCTTCAAAAGGATTGTGTTCCAAATAGTCCAGTATTCACCATATAGTGCACTGTTTGGTCTGGGCCTGAAACTGTTTGATTCACTATATAGTGCTCGATTTTGGACTATGACCTGGTCACTATACAGTACATTATTTTAGCCTGAAACTTTGACCTATATAGTGCACTATATAGAGGAATTATGTAATCGTGTTTTATACAGTTCTTCTGATTTTCCAAGGAAGGGAAATCCCTAAATAGTAAACAATGCACTATATATAGTGAACAGGGTATAGTTTCAGATATAGCCTAAAAGAGTACACTCTATAGTGAATATGATACAGTTGTAGATATAACCTAAAATAGTGTATAGAGTGTAGTTTCAGATGTACCCCAAAATAGTACTCTATATATAGTGAATAAGACATTTTCAAACATTGTCCAAAATAGTGCACTATATAACAAACAAGGCACTTCCAGATGTAGTCCAAAATAATGTCATGAATAGGGCAGGGCATAGTTTCTAGCCCAGACTAAAATTGTGCACTATATTGGGAATAAGGTAGGCATACCTGCAGTTTCAGACACAGTTCAAAATGGTACACTATATAGTGCTTAAGGCAGTTTCAGATGTAGCACAATGTAGTGCACTATATAGTGAAAAGAGCAGTTTCAGACACAGCCCCAAAAAGTGCACTATATAGTGAACAGGTTATAGTTTCAGACATAGACTAAAACAGTTCACTATATAAGGAAAGAAAAGGTTCACTATCAAGTGAAAAGGTTCATTATATACTGTGTGAAAAGATGCACTATATAAGGTAAGAAAAGGTTCACTATAAGGTGAAAAAGTTCACTATATAAGGTGAAAATGTTCACTATATAAGGTGAAAATGCTCACTATAAGGTGAAAAGGTACACTATATAAGGTAAGAAAAGGTTCACTGTAAAGTAAGAAAGTTTATTATATAAGGTAAGAAAAGGTTACTATATAATGTAAAAATGTTCACTATAAGGTGAAAAGTTTCACTATAAGATGAAATGGTCCACTATATAAGGTAAAAAAGTTCACTATATAAGGAAAGACAAGGTTCACTATGAGGTGAAAAGGTACACTATATAAGGTAAGAAAAGGTTTACTATAAGGTGAAAAGGTTCACTATATAAGGTAATAAAGGTTTACTATAAGGTGAAAAGGTTCACTATATATGGTAAGAAAAGGTTCACTATAAGGTGAAAAGGTTCACTATATAAGGTGAGAAAAGGTTTACTATAAGGTGAAAAGGTTCACTATATAAGGTGAGAAAAGGTTTACTATAAGGTGAAAAGGTTCACTATATAAGGTAAGAAAAGGTCCACTATAAGGTGAAAAGGTTCACTATATAAGGTAATAAAGGTTTACTATAAGGTGAAAAGGTTCACTATAAGGTGAAAAGGTTCACTATATAAGGTAAGAAAAGGTTCACTAAAAGGTAAAAAGGTTCACTATAAGGTAAGAAAAGATTCACTGTAAGGTGAAAAGGTTCACTATATAAG